TACCGTTTTCTATAATAGCTGCATCAACTTACATTCTTACCAAAAATGACAAGGTTCTTCCTCCATGCCCTCACCAACACTCATTTACTATCTTTTTTTTAATATTTGATTTTTTCTTAAAAAAATTTTTTTTGATAATATCCATCCTCAGAGATATAAGGTGATATTTAGTTATAGTTTTGATTTTTGTATTTCTGATGATTAATGATAACGAGCAACTTTTCATATGGCCATTTTTGTGTCTTCTTCAAAAAAATATTTATTCAGGTCGTTTGCTAATGTTTTAATTATGTTCTTCTCTTCTTCTGTCTTTTTTTTCCCTACGTGCAATATTGTGAATTACTCATGTATTTTGGATATTAACCTCTTATCAAATACATGGTTTGTAAATATTTTTTCTTAATCCTTAAGCTACTCTTTCGTTTTGTTGATTGTTTATTATTTTGTGTGCAGAAATGTTTTTCTTTGATGTAGTACTATCGATGTTCCCCCCCACCCCGTGCTTTTAATTTGCTGTCCATAAAAATCATTGCCAAGATCAATGTCTAGACACTTTTGCTTATGTTTTCTTCCAGGAGTTTTTGGTTTGAGGCCTCACATTTATGTTGTTATCCATTTTTAGTTGATTTGTTTGTTTTGTACAAAGTTCAGTTTTATTATTTTCCAAGAGGATACTAGTTTTCCAGTACCATTTATAGAATAGGTTATTCTTTGCCACATGTTTTTTTGAGGTCCTTGTTAAAAGTTAGTTGGCCACATAAGCTTGGGTTTATTTCTGGGCTCTCTATTCCCTTCCATTTGTTTATCTATCTATTTTTATGCCAGTATCATATTGTTTTAGCCACTATAGTTTTGTAGTATAATTTAAATCAGGTAATGTGATACCTCTAACTTTGTTTTTCTTTCTCAGGATTGCTTTGGCTATTTGTGATTTAATACATTTTAGCATTTTTTTAAATTTATTAATATGTAAGAAATGCCACTGGTATTTTGATAGGAAATATGTTGAATTTGTATATCACTTTGTGTAGTATAGAAATTTTAACAAGATTAATTTTTCATAAGTTTTTAAATCTCCTTTGAGATTTATGAGTAATTTAGAAATGTATATTTATATTTTTTCTCACAAAAGATCAAGTAAAAGTAATGATAGCTTTAGAAATTTTTGTATTTAACCTATTAATCTATTTGTTAAAATGCATATTTTAAATGATTTTTAACCAATTATTACATAGTATACAAAAGTCTGAAAATATTCTACATGGCTTTTTCCTCTTCTTTTTTTTTTAATTACATTGAATCCCTGTACATCTTTACAGCATACGAAATGAACTTCCCCAGTGTGAATACACTGCATGCGAGTCTAGTCAAAGGTATTCCCATACACACCATCATCAATGGACAGCTCCTCAGTTTTGCGTTCATTAAATGTTTTGCCTTCCATTTCCCTTGATTCCCTCCTTCTTGTACCCCCACTGCCCATGTCCTTCTCACTCTAACTCTCGTAGTCACATTTGCTCTCCATGCTTGTGCCAATATACTTTTTGTTGTTGTTGCCAGAGAGAAAAGAAAGTGAAAAAGCACTCCACAGTGGGTCATGGTCACATTGCAATCCCTTCTCCTGCATTTCTCCATCCTGTAAGAATTCGGTCATGAATATATGTGCACCTGACATGTTTTTCAAACTCTCAGGGCCAACATTCGAATTGCTGTTGGCCATGCGGAAACTGATTCCCTTAACCACTTGGCCATAGGACCAGCCTGAAAACCAGCTTATTAAAATTAACTTAATGAATAGCTTACTTTCCTGACTCAGTGAAGTTTCTTTTTTTCTTTTTCTTTTTAAAATAAATGTTAGTTTCATTTTTGCCCCTGCCTCTGAACTTGACCATCCCTCTGCAACAACATAGTCTGCACAAATCTTGGAGGGAAGTCTCAGGGCAAGGCTGCGACTAGGTTTTTCTAAACATCTTTAAAATTTTGCAAATTAAGCTTTTGGCAAATCGCCGTTCAATAAATTGATTTGCTTTCCCAAAGCACAAATGTCTCCTAATTCTCTCTCTTTCCCAGCACAGGTTTCTGCCATTTTTACATTCACTAAAATAAGGAGAGATGACACTGGGAGGACATGCACATGATGGTGTGTACACATCAGTACATACAACCCGTGGCCGGGTTTGAATCATACCATAAAGAAAGTATTCTTAAAAGACATCCTCTTTCTTCAAGCTACCATCACACCTTGTGTTAGGGAACAAACATCACCAGAATTCTTGTGTCTGGACTTTCTGAGCAGGGTAGGTCTTTTAGGCATCATGGTTGATTAATTAAATATAAACATAATTTCAACCTTGATTCTCACGAACATCCTTTCTCTAATTTTCTTAGTTGTGAACTTATTCAGGCTGCTCTAAAAGAAAATACCACAGACTGGATGGCTTATAAAAACAATGCAATTTATTTCTCACAGATCTGGAAGCTGGGTGGTCTAAGATGAACAGGCTGGCAGAATCTGGGTGAGGCACACTTTCTGATCCGCTTATAACCATCTTCTCACTCTGCCCTCACGTAGGAGGCCAGGAAGCTTCCCGGGCCTTTTCTATAAGGGCATTAAGGGACTACACCTGGATGACCCAGTCACCTCCAAAGTACCCACCTCCTAATACTATCACATGGGAGATTAGGTTTCAAAACATGAATTTTTAAGAACAGAAATATTCAGTCCATTGCAGGTCCAGAGCTCCTGTGAAAGCATGTCTATGCAAGGAACTTTTTTTTTTTTTATCAAGTCTCAGATATCTTTAATGCCACAGTCTACAGTCTACCTCTGTATTTCCCTTTCTTCCTTGGTTTCTACTCGCTTTTTTTTTTTTTTTTTTAAATACGCTATAGGTTATGTGTTTTTGTAAGAGAGAACAAAAACAGAGGGAAAATGAGAAATCACCTCCTAGGGGAGATGGCTTCTCAGGATTTGGGACAAGCACGCACACGCACAGACACACACACACGCCCAGCATGTCTTTCAGGGCACTGAGTCCAGGACTCAAACCACCCAGTAAGCCATGTGCAATCCAGCTGCCCTAACCTCCACACCACTTGCTGACTCTCTACTCACTCTTATCTTTGGTTGCCTGCTGCCAGAATCTAAACCATTTGCAAAGAACTTTACAAGGAATCTGAGAAATTCAAGAGAAAAGGACATTGGAATGCAAATGAGAACAACAATGAAATACTATTTGTAACTCATAAAATTGGCAACGCATACAAAAGAAACTCTGCTGGTATTGGCTCACAACTGTTGGGGAAAATACAGATTGGCGTAGTGCTTCTAGAAGAAATTTTCTGACACACTTAGTATCTTAAAATATCTACAGCTCTTCCATTTCTCTTCTAGGAATTTCTCCTAAGGAAATGCAAATGTTTAAAGAATTATCCTAGTGAGGTTTACAATAGCAAAATAGTAAAGATAATGGAAACATCTCTAATGTCTGTCTTCATTAGATTAACTTAATGCGTTATGCTACATTTATAGGACACATAATAAGGACTACTATGTAACTACAGGCATGAGTTACTTAAAAACACAGATACGTTTTGAGAAATGTGTCTTTCATCATTGTGCAAACATCATCCTATTGCTCCTAGGCTATAAACCTGTATCACATGTTATAGTATGACTAGTGCAGGCAACTAGAACACTGTGGTAAGTATTTGTGTATCTACAATAGCCGAACAGAAAAGGTACCATAAATATATGACATAGGGGTCAGACAGTGGTGCAGCAGTAAATTATGATGCTCTGAGAAGCAATCCTACACGAGAAGGTTCCTTTCCAGTTCAAGTCCAGAGACCTCCCGAGTATTCTAGGCACATGCTTACCCATGATTTAGAATATAAAGACCCTATTGGAAGTACAAGTCTTTCTGTTTCTTTCTCGATCATGGAAAAAATAAACAAACAAACAAAAAAACACTGGTATACAAGATAAAAATATAAGGACCAGCAGGAGGTGTGTTATTTAGGTTCCTGGATTTCCCCATGGCCAACCACGCAGTTTGAGTCCCAGATCTGGTGGCTTGACAACCAGGTCCGTGTGTGTGTGTGCCCCAAATCCTGAAAAGAAAATAGAAGAGAACAGATCACCCCTAGGGGGTGATTTCTTATCCCTCCCATCTCTCTCTCTCTCTCTCTCTGTGAGTGCACACACCCTATGGCAAGAAAATAAATAAGTAAAAATTAAAATTAAAAATATAGAATATCTTTTTAGGATCATGAATAGAACTTGCCGGACTAGAAGCTGCTATGAGTGAGCCAGTGAGTGATTGCTGAGTACATGTGATGGCTAGATTACTGTGTCCTACTGCAGTCCTTACAAACACTGCACACATGAACTATACTGAACTAATCCTTTTTTCTTGCTTTAATAATAAATTAATCCTGGCTTACTGTAACTGTTTTACTTTATAAACTTTTTAAATTTTTAAGCCTTTTTTTAAAAGTTCTTTTATTTTACTTATGGTAGTTTGTACACAAGGATGAGAGAGAAAGAGAAACACCTTTGACTGGGAATGATCACATTGCAATGTCTTTTTCCAGGTCTCCAACTCATCAGAGTCTTGGATATGCATGCATGCACACTTGTTTTAGATGCCCTGGGCTGAGGATTCAAACCTGCGGTCAGCCATGTGGCTTCTGGTACTACTGTTCAGTGCATTACCAGTTGTGCCACAGCAGCTTTTTTTGTTTGTTTGTTAACTCTCTTGTAATAACACTTAGCTTAAAACACTAAAATGTTATATAACTATAAAACTGACCCCCTACTTTATATCTTTATTCTAAAAACTTGGTTCTATTTAAACAATTTTTTCTTTTTAAACTTTTTATTTATTTATTTACTTATTTATTTTTGCTAAAAACAAAGACATTAACACACAGAGGCCTAGGCCTACATGGAGTCAGGATCGTTAATAGTACCACCTTTTCCTTTATATCGTATCCAGTTGAAGGGGCACGATGAACAAAACAACGTGAGATTAAATTGAGCACAGGAGATGATGATGCAATCAAGAGACAAGGGAGACAGGAGATGCACGAGGCAGCCACCGGCACGGCGTAGTGTCCTGCTCGTCAGGAAACGTTTTGTGAGTAGAAGGAGCATACTCTAAAACAACAATGAGAAGTGTGATATGGTAAATACATAGGCCAGGGGCAGAGTTGGTTATTATCCTTACTGGGTATTTCGTATTGTCCATAATTGTACGTGCTGTACTTGTTTATGCCTGGCAGCTCAGCAGGTTGTGTAAGCAGCAGCAACAGGTGCGTCAGGCATTCCACTACGACATCGCCATGGCTATGAAGTCACTGGGCAAAAAGATGTCTCCATTATAATTGTATGGCCCAGTGTCACACAGAGAGTTCATCGAAACATCCCAATGTGGTATAAGACTATTAAAAGTATCACCATATTTTAAGTGAGGAAAATAATAGATCTCAAATCAATTTGCATAATAGTATAACATTGTAAAGCATGGCATACATAATGTTTAAAAAAGGCTGTAACTTGATATACTGAATTAAATGATAATAATTATCTCTAGCTTAAGGAATTATAAATGCATTTCATGCTCTTTTTTCTGGATCTATATTTTTCCAGATTTTCTACAGTTAACAATGTCTTTGAGGAAGCAAGCCTGGCTCTGACCTTTTATATATTAAAAATAATAATATTATGATTTCCCTTCTAATAGAGAAAAGGGATTAAAAACTAACCCTATTTCCCTATCAGAAAGAACTTCGTAATATCTTTTCTCTTCCTTTTAACAAAATCCTTCTGTACACTATGATATAAAAATAGATCATTTGAGGGAAATTGAAAACAAAACAAATGCCTTAAAGATCAAAATAGCAGCAAGATGAAACTGATCTAAGAAAATCAGATGATATTCATTTTCTTGTTCATTATCTAAAGACAAGCTGCCTCTCTTCAATGGGTGGAATGAATTTGGGCCTGGATTGCTGTCTTGTCTCCTTTCCTCCCTTCCTGTCTTCTTCCCTCTCTTTTTAGAGGAGTCATTTACAGAGCCTGAGGTCTGCTATTAGCCTCCAGGAGGACCTCCTGCTGCAGGGTGGAAGGTCAGAACCAACTTGCAGAGCAGAACATACACAATGCACCTCAAGCACCTAGCATAGTGACAGTGCATAGGGGCTGTTCAGGAAAGGGTGCCTATAATAACTGTTATTTATGTAGTCTTAAAAAAAAAAAATCAGGGCAGTCTCTCTTGCAAAACGAACAGGACCACCAAGCTAGTGTCATGGTTCATAGGCAGCTGCCAGATGAACGCAGCAGCAAGTCAACCAGAAAAACAACTGACAACTGAGCAATTTCCTGGGTTTCAAGGGAAGGATGAAGATTCCTGGGCGCCCGTCCTCCCCTCAGGGGAAATGGGCCACTTGGGCCCCAGATGTGCCCTTCTTTTCCAGACTCAGGCCTGCGTCAGCATCCCGGGCCCTGGAGCCTGCACCTTCATCATTGCATAATATCCTGCTGGAGCTGCTCAGCCCGCACGCGAGTCATCGGAGCCCCCTGCTGGAGAAACACAGAAATGGCGCTTTCTCTGACGTCTTCCCTGGGGTTTTCTCTGCTTTTAGGGACATTATTTCTCACTGTGCCACAGTGAGAAGGGAATTTTCTGCAGAGAGAGAGATAAGAAATGAACCCTAACTCCACAGCGCAAAGCACTCCTTGGAGCATCAGCCAGTACACGGTTTCCGTGGCAGGAACGGATGAGTCTCAGCAGTTTCCCCACCTGGCTTCAATCCATTCCTGAAGCCTGGACTCCTACCTACCTGCAGGGTCAAGGGGTGGGCTTCAGTCACATGGAGCAGAAAGAGCCTGGAAGGGGCCAACAAGGTTCCTCAGTGCCTACAGGGATGTGAAGGGGCATGGTTTGCAACTTTATCTTGCTTTTTATTTTTTAAGGTTTATTTATCTAATGAGAGAGAGCGTGAGAGAGAAGCACCCTCGACAGGCTCTTGGCTGCAATTCTCTGCTTAGTGTTTCCAGCCTCCAGCCTTCCCAGCCAGCCAGGATCATGGGCAGGTGGACCAGGAGTACTAATCCTGGTTATCTTTATGGCAAAACCTTACACTACTATTGTGCCACTGTGGCTGGGATAGTCCCTTTCCTTTTCTTTTTCTTTCTCTTTCTTTTTTTTTTTTTCTTTTTTTTCTTTGGCTGTAGGGTTCATGGACTTGCTGGAGACAGAAACAGTGGGAAAGTGAGAGAGCACTCCTTCCCTGGTGAGGAATGGTAATATCACAATCCCTTCTTTTCCTCCCTCCTCCCAGAGTTTCGAGCATACATGCACACATGCCCAGCATGTTGTTCAAGCTATTGGTTCTGGGATTCAAACCATGCAGTTGGCCTGAGGGAATCAGCTGCCTTAACCTCAATGGGCCAGCCTCCTCTTACTGTTAACTCTGCCTTGTATTAAAAAAGCAGGCACACTGAATATAGTAGAAATGTCCTAAACTTCTTTCTCTCCTCCCTTTACTCCATTACAAAATCTTGACAAACTGTTTATTAGTAGGTTTAATGCTGTAGAAATGTAGTGGCCTCCCTTAAAGTGTGAACGGTTGCCTCACATACCCATAGATTTTAGAGGCGTTCAGACTTGCCTCTAATCTTTTTCAGTGTTTTATGACCCTCGAGCCTGCATGAGCTAGAGCAGTGCCAAGTCCCCCACACTACTGTGACTCTTCACCAGAGCATGGTAGTGTGGTCATTGCTCAGCTGGGAAGAGGTTAGTGATCTGACATGTTTGGTCTGAGGCAGGTCTGACACATCTGTCACCAGAGCTGTGGCTAAGTGTGTGGTCAGGTTGAGGGAATAGGGCTAAACAGAGACGGAAAGGCCAGCAGTGCCATGCCTGCCAAGGACGTGGGCTGATGAGGTGCAGAGTGCTCTCTCTGAAGTGTTTAGGGCTTTCTTGTCTTTACATTTTGGCCTATTTATGCCCTTGTCTTCTCAAGGCTCTCAGTCCTAATCGCACTTTAGGATCACCTGGAGAGCTTTTCAAAAAAAAAAAAGGTGATAAAAAAAAAAATCACTCAGGCCCAGGATCTTCCCCAGATGAATTCATTGAGAGTTTCTGAAGGTGGGTCCAGGGAATCTGTATTATTATTATTATTATTATTATTATTATTATTTTAGGTCATCAGAAAAGTCATGATGCATTTTTTTTTTGCATAGAAAAATATGTCTTGACGTTCCTGATGAGTTATTATCATTGTTTTAAGGTGCTCAGGTGACTATGATGACTGTAGTGACTAATCAAGGCTGAGAACCATTGCTCCAGTCTTCATCTGCTCAGTTTGTTGGATGTAGCTTAACGCATAGCAAGAGCTTAGTAATGCTTGATGAATGAGTGAGTGAGTGAGTGAATGAACGAAGTCTGGGAAGGGAAAAAACACACAAATGCTCCTTTATAACAAAAATGCTCACCTACTGTGATTAATGAATCAACGGGCAACTAGAGGCAGACCGTACAGCAAAGGCAGTCTCCACACTAGAGGTGGACAGGCAGAAGGGCACGGGTTAGGCCATTAACACTGATGGGAAAAGGCCTTGAGACAATTTGTGTTTGTTGCCGGTACTGGTCTTACAGACCTCTCCCTTTGAAGGGTGGCAGGACAGAGGGGAGGAAAAGAAAGAAAGAATTTGAAATCATGTAACTAAACAGGAAGAGGGTGGTGGTGTTGCCTGAGTTTCAGAGAGCCAGTCCTACAGAAGCCCTTGCTGAGCACATGGAGGATATGGAACTCCAAGTGCCCTGGGTGGTTGAAGCAGAGGACCAACCTGCCATGTGCTGAGAGGAGGCAGGACACGGATCCATCAGAGACAGAAACAAGAATATACATTCAAGGAGGCTAGGCAAATCCAAGGTCTCCCCACTGGAATAACTCCTCAAGGCCAGAAATAGTGTCTTTTTCAAACCCTTTCTGGGAAGTTTCTATTTCCTCATCTATGTGGGAGTGGACTGGCTTCCAAAGTAGGTGCAAGCAGAAATCAACAGAGAAAAATTAAGGACAGAATAAAGTTCAGTCAGATTGCAAATTGGTATGAAATCCATACAGTGAAATGTGGGGCCAGATGAAGTCTTTCTGAGCAAGTGTAACTCTAGGGGGGACTCAAGAGGTGAAGTCCTGTCTATGAGGGAAAGCAGGCATAGGGTAGGACTAGGTTGGCCCTCAGAAACTTCATCTCCAGGCTCACAGCTGACTGATTTTCACAAACAACTAGATGATGTCCTTCCTCATGCTTAGATTATCCATATTCAAAATAGAATTACCAACACAGAGTTTCCATCATAAGATACATTGCCCTGCTCCATGGAGGTTGTGGGAAAACAACGTATTTTATTAGTCAGTTCAGAACATCTGCTTTATAATTACAAAAAGTCACTTTTTTCAACAGTTATCCACATACAACTGGTTTATTTAATGCACTGGAGTTGTTAGATAAAGGCTGAAGCTCTGGGGAAAAGATATTGTACTTTTCCACCTTGTGGGGAAGTAAGGGGCATGAGGTCTTAAATACTAATAAATATCATATTCTTTAACTTGGCATTGAAAAATCCTGGTCTAGACTCATAACAATGTAATTCCTGCCCACTGTCATAATACAAACTATGAATGGTCATACAATTGGAAGCTTACTCCTTCCCCTAACTTGAGCCTAGCTCAGGTCTGGGAGAAAGGGGAGGTTGGAGCATGGTTGGCCTTCTCCCTGCATCTTGACTTTACATCTTTCCTCACTTGTTAGCTACTATTTTTCTTTTAAACTATCTGGATTGGGTTCAGGGGATAGATGAGCAAGGGGAAAGCATGAAAGGTAGAGGTTGGCATGGTTGCCATCTAGTTCTGGTGTTCCTTGGCCCCACTAGACATTCCAGGTTCTTTTATGGAAGGTTCATTGTAAGCCATTGGAGGTCCTTGACCTGATGTTCCCTAGAAGTGGGAAAGTTCTGTCCCCTGTTATCTGACAGTCAGGTGTGACTTCCAGCTCAGGCCTGGACTCACAGTGCTCCTCTCTTGGGGATCCGTCATGGAATAAATGCTTGTGTCAGCCCAGAATTCATAT